TGGCTACAGTCTTGCGGTGACGGCAGCGCCTGCCTAGTCGGTCGGGGACGCGGCATCGAAACATGAGGCTCAGACACATCCTCCAAACGGAGTGCCAGCCCACGCCATGCAGGCCGAGGAGCCCCATCCCTCTTCGGCGTGTGCGTCCACGAAGAACGAACCACACTTGATCAGGAGGAGGGGGGGGGAGGGTGCAGGCGAGTCTGTCGCGGGGGTGTGCTCCATCGAGGCTGCTTCCCCCTGCCGCCAGGATCCCTCCAGGTGCGCGCGCGGTCTCTCTCTCTCTCTCTCCCTTCCTCCCTCCCTGGCGTCGGCCAGCCGTTCGGGCAGCTAACGCCCCATCCTCCTCCCTCCTTTGCTCTTTCGTCGCACGCTGTGCTGCGCAAGTGCTCCAGATGCTCCCTCCCTCCCTCCCTCCCTCCATCCTCTCCCTGTCGGTCTCTATGCTCTCTCTCTCTCTCTCTCTCTCTCTCCCTCTGCCTCGGTCCCAGCGGTTTCCGCTACACTGACCGCGGCCGTGCTTCGCAATTCTTGACGCTTCGCGTATCCCCACCAGCCCATCCTACACCAGGCACTCGAACGAAGAGCGCCGATGATCGGCAGCTGTTCTCCTCCCCCTCTTCCTCCTTCTCCTCCGCCTTCCTCCTCCTCCTCCTCCTCCTCCTCCTCCTCCTCCTCCTCCTCCTCCGCCTCTTCCTCTTCCCTGGTGGCGTCTTGGAGGTATCTTCGAACGTTTTGGTGGGCTCTTGGGCCTCGCGGGCGGGCGGGCGGCGCTCCGCCCGCCCGCGCGCAGGGCGCAAGAGGAGAGTCCGAGACGTCTCTTGAGGCCCTCTTGGAGGACATCGATCGCAGAAGGGGGAAGCATTTTTTAGCGTCGCCCCCCTGGGGGGCACGATCCTCGTGAGGGGTGTCGAATTTTAGCCCTCCCAGGGGTCGTTCTTGGACGCTCTAACTACCCGCGGCCCCCCCTGTCCAGGTCAGTGGGGAGGGGGTAGGGGGAGGGGTAAACCCCTCCCCGAAGGGGAAGAAGGAGGGGTGGAAGAGGAAACGCTCTAAACCACCGACGCCCAGAGGGCTGGTGGGACTTGCTGCCAAGCAACACGAGGGGGTGGATCCGTTCTGTTACCTTGTACGTTGATCATTTTATACTACTTTCTGCTTGATGTGTTCCTTCACAGGCGTTTGCGTCGTCTGTGAGAGTTTACCATACAGGTTATACAGGCAGGCGGCGGTTGAAGTAGGCCAGTGCTTAGACACTCTCTCGCCGTTCTCCTCCTCGCCTTCGCCCACACAGTGTTTTCTCACCCCTCCTCTTGCCTTGAGCCTTATGGTTCACTTCCTCCTCCTCACCCTGCTCCTCTCCTTCTGTTCCTCAAGACTGGGCCTTTCCGTCGTCGTCAGGCGCCCAACCATCTGTTCCGTCAAATGTATGACTATCCTCTGCTCTCCTTTGCTCTACTCCCCTCCTGTCTCCTTTTCTCTCCTATCCTTTCGTCCCCTCTCGTCTCTTCGCCTATCTTCTCTGCTCCGTCTCCTCATCGTGCCCCACCTCCGAAACACCCACCTCTTCCTCGTTGCCGCCCGCGGAGGCGGATCGAGTGGTTCGAGCAGAACCCCCACGGTTGGGCGAAGATAGACTTCGGACCCGACTTTGGCGTGGCGCTCGACAAGAAGGCGTGGCCCCGTTCGGTTTTCGAGCGCCTGGCCGACAGGAGGTCTCAATTGTAAACGCTTGAGCTGTCAGCAAGCCGCCAGGCAAATTAATCAGGCCAGGGCACCAGACGAACGTATGGGAATACGGCACCAGTCTGAGGCACTAGACTAAGGCACCAGACTCATGCACTAGACCAGGAGAGCATCCGCCGTAGCATCCACTGAAACGCGCACGTATCACCACATTGAGGCATTATACCCCGGCACCAGACTGGCGGAACATCCGCTGGACAATCCACTGATGCGCACACGTGTCACCAGACAGCTGCACCAGACTAAGGTGCCAGACTAGAAGAACATCCACTGGGAGCTTCTCATAAGCGGATCATACGAACAGAGCATCCAATGGAACACCATATTAGTGGAGCATTTTCTGGATCAACTATTGCACATACACACATTTGTCACTACATGCATTTGCAAGACTGAAGCACCAGACCAGTGGAACATCCACTGGGACATCTGCTGAATTGCTCGCGCGTCAACAGACTCAGGCACCAGACTGGTGGAGTATCCGCTGGAAATCCACTGAAACCCACAGGTGTCACCAGACAGATGCATCAGGCTAAGGCGCCAGACTGGTGGAGTATCAACTGGAACATCCACTGAAGCGCACGCGCGTGAAAAGACAAGTGCATCATAGCACAAGACTAGTGGAGCATAAGCAGGAGTACCAGACTAGTGCAGCCTCCGTTGGAGCTCCAGACGGTCCTTCGCGTATCACCCGCCTCGCGGACGATCTACTTGAGAGCACGACTACGGCAGTAGACGCAGCACCTGCCTGACAAGAGCACCATCATAAAGCATCCGACTCAAGCACGAGGTCGATGTGGCGAGTGATGCTCACAGAGACGGTTTATGCTGATTGGGCCGGTGACGTCGATTTCGCCGTCGTGGTAGTTGTCGCTGTCGTTCTCGTCGGTTCTGGCGGCGCGGTCTGGCGAAATCGCTGACTACATGGCACCAGACTCCGGCACCGCACCAGTGCACGAGACGTACTTGACCACCAGGCCGTAAGTGCACTGGGCTCAGGCACCATTTTACAGTCTCAGACTGAAGCGCACGACTAAAGACCGACCCTGGCGCCTTGATCGCCCGCGACACCGTGCGACCTGCGGGGCAATTGGCGTGGGGCTTCAGCGTGGTGCCAGTCCAGTGAGCGCGCCTGACGAAATTTGACATACGGCGCTATGCACCAGACTAAAGCATCAGACTATCGCCGCAGAATTAAGCACCTGACCAAAGCGCCAGGCTCAAGCACCAGTTTGAGGCACCATGCTCCTGAGTCGCACGCGACACTGATCGTTCTGCAGGGTAACTGGCCTGGAGCTTCAGTCAGGTACATGTTCAGTGAGTACGCTTGGCGAGATCGCTGCCCCACACTGCCAGACTGAGGCTCCGCGCCAGGAAACAGACCTCGGGCGACGAAACCTATCCATATCCACTGCCTTATGGCTGGCAATTCCTGGGCTCAAGAGCTCTGTATACGCACTCCTGGCCAAGCCAGGAGGGCGTGGCGTATACACCGCTGCTGTGCTCAGGATGGGCCTGGCCAGGTAGCAGTGGATGTGTATAGATTTCGTCGCCTTAAGGCCGACGTACCAGACTAATACACCATACTCCAGCATCAGGCTGGAGCCCCAGGCGCCCGAGTCGCCCGCGATGCCGATCGACCCGTGCGGTGGCTGGCCTGGCGCGAGGGCCGCGGGCTCTCTGGCTGGTGCCTAAGTCGGGTGATTTCGTCTGGCATTTCAGTCTGATTCGTTAGCCTGGTGCCTTCCTGTGGTGCTCGAGTCTGGTGCTTTGGTCTGGTACTTTCGTGTGGCGCCGCCTTTGCAGTTGCCAGAAGCCGCCCTCCGCCTGGCCGCGAGTGAGACGTCACGGCTAAGGCCTCTTGCGTTTGGTCCCATACTGGCACATTACCGTGTGAGATGAGGGTGTTTTTGCCGTGCCTGTTTTGCAATCGGAGCGGCAAGACAACCCTGGGATGGACTATATTTCAATTCGTCCCCAGCTCTGTATCAAGTAATTGAGGCCACTAGGGACCTCCGACGTCATCACGCAGTGTGGTTTATACCAGAGTTGGCACGGATGCACCCGTACTGTTTTGTTTGAAGTGCGGCACCAATGAATTGTGAAAGGCCGACACGCTAGTTCAACCGTAGTGCTACTCTCAAGACACGATCGACCTATGTAAGCTCAGACGAGGGGAACTCCCAGGGGCTTCAGAGCAACGTTAGATCCCCCTCCGGCCCCTGGGGGTAAGTTGTCTTAGCCCAGTCCACGAGCAACACAGGCCATCCATTACGGGATGCAGGATCGGATTCTCTCGTGGTAATGCTGAGTTTTTTACTTGTTTTTCGCTAGGCTGTAGGGTTGATCAGCGACCTCCCTGCGTGACGCGACGTGCGACGCGACGAGCAGTAGCCTGGCGAGGGGGAGCAGGAGGAGGACTAGGAATACCGGTAGAACTACGTAGCTGGACGATCAGGTGATGATGACGATGATGATGACGATGATGAAGACGATGAAGACGATGATGATGATGCTGATGATGATGATTGATGGTGGTGATGATGACGACGATGATCGCGATGTCGATGATGATGATGCCGATGATGATGTTGCCGATGATGCCGATGATGCTGCTGGGGAGGACGATGTCGATGATGATACTGATGCTGCTGATGATGATGGTGATTCTGATAATGACGCCGATGCAGCTGATTAAGATGATGATGCTGCTGATAATGATGATGACGGTCAACATAGTGAAGCTGATGATAATGATGATGATGACGATGACGATGATGATGATGATGATGATGATGATGGTGCTGATGATGATGTTAATGATGCGGATGATGATGATTATGATGATGATGCTGCTGAAGATGATGACAGTGCTGATGATGCTGATGATGCCGATGATGATGCCGATGATGATGACGATGATGATGATGATGATGATGATGATGATGATGATGATGATGATGATTATGATCATGATGATGGGGATGATGGTGCTGATGACGATGACGACGACGACGGTGACGATGACGATGATGATGATGATGCTGCTGCTGAATATGACGATGACGATGGTGACGATGATGATGATCATCATCATGATAATGCAAATGATGATAACAAGTTGATGATGCTGCTGATGATGATGCCACTGCTGACGATGATGCTTATGCTGATTATGTAGATGTCGATGTTGTGGTGCTGATGGTCACAACGACGATGATGATGATGATGATGATGATGATGCGGATGCTGCTGATGATGATGACGATGACGACGACGATGATGATGATGATGATGATGGCGATGCTGCTGATGATGATGTTGATGATACTGATGATGACGATGCTGACGAAGCTGATGATGCTGATGATGATGAACATTATGATGATGCTGCTGATGATGTTGATCGTGATGATGATGATGGTAAGGATGATGCTGCTACTGATGATGATGATGATGCCGGCGATCATGATGGTGATGATGATGCTGATGATGATACTGATGATGGTGCTGATGATGATGATGATGATGATGGTGAAAATGATGATGATGATGATGATGATGATGATGATGATGATGATGATGATGATGATGATGATGATGGTGCTGCTGCTGATGATGCTGATGCTGCTGACCATGATGATACGGATGTTGTTGATGATGATGATGATGATGATGATGATGATGGTGGTGGTGGTGGTGGTGGTGGGGATGAGTGTGATGCTTGGCCATGTTGCTATGATTGTGATTATGCTGTTGTTGCTCCTACTGGTGATGATTTTGATGTTGATGGTGGTGATGATCGTGCTGATGAGCAAGACGCTGCTGATGGTGGTGGTGATGCTGATCATGGTGTTGAGGGCTCACACTGTTAGGACCATGATATGCGTTTCCGATGCCGGTGGCGATGCTGATGATGATGTTGCTGAGGATCGTGATGATGGTGATGATGATTATGAGCATTATGATGATGCTGATGCGGATGCTGATGCGGATGCTGATGCTGATGCTGCTGGTGCTGCTGCTGCTGATGAGGACGAGGATGATGTTAATGATGATGATGATGATGATGATGATGATGATGATGATGATGATGATGATGATGATGATGATGATGATGATGATGATGATGATGATACTGCTGCTGCTGACGATGATGATGATGTTGTTGTTGATGATGATGATGATGATGATGATGATGATGATGATGGGAGGAAGGCGATGAGGATGAGGAGGAGGAGGAGGAGGAGGGGGAGGAGGGGGAGGTTCGCTTCTACCGCAGGGCCACATCTTCGTCTGGGGCGAGGGCTCCCCCGACGGCGTCCCTGTTGGGCCAGTGGCCGTTGATCTGCAGGCCCGCGTGGAGCGAGGAGGAGGCGAAGGAGAACCAGCGTAAACCCAAGACGTATCAACGATGTTGCAACCAGCACTCCTTCCAAGTTCTGTGTTCATAGGTCCCTCTAGGATTTACTTTGTTATTCTGGGAAGTGCCGCATTGGAAGAACACAGTCTTCAACCGTCGTCAGCGCCGCGAACCCACGTTATTGTTGCGTCCTTACAGCCCTAAATCGTGCCAGAAAACTATTCTGGGGACTGCGCCACGGCGAATGAACGTGATTTTTGCGTCCTGATAATCCAGCTCGTGCGAGAACACCTTTCTTGGGACTTCAACGGTATGAATCCTTGAAGCTGCTGCGAACTTTCAAGACGAATATGCGCGGCGCTAAGGCGAGAGCCACATTTGGTAAACCACCTGCCCTCCATCCATGAAGCTGTTCCGGACTTATATGGCGAAAGTGCGGCGCTAAGGCGAGAGCCACATTTTGAACACCACCCGCCCTACATCTTTCAAGATGCAGACTAAGACGAATGTGCGCGGTGCTAAGGCGAGAGCCACACTGTGAAAATGATCCGCCCTCCATTCGTGGAACCGTTGGAAATTTCAAACATAAAGATCAGACCTTTCTGGGGAAGTCTCAGGCGAAACGCCGTCTCAGGCGAAACGTCTGGGTGTGCGCCAGCGGGGAGTTATTTATGGATGGACATGGATGGAGGAGAAGGCGGGGAAGGGGGAGAGGAGGGAAAGGCGGGACATTTGGGGAGGAGGGAGAGGGGGGGAAGGGAAGGGACGAGGGAGGAGGAGGAGGAGGAGGAGGAGGAGGAGGAGGAGGAGGAGGAGGAGAAGGCGACAGGGGTAGAGATACGCCCTGCCTCCTCCTGGTATTCCTTGGTACAGAGCCTGGGTCAGAAACGTTGCCAAGGGCTGGGGTTCGGGCTGAAAGATGTCGGCCCTCTGGAGACCCTCGCTCTGAGAGATTCTGCTGCTCACGAGACTCCTGGGCCACAATCTGTGCGTGACCAAAGTCTTTGATAGTAATGGGGTGCGGGTCACCAGTGTTGTGCGGCTTGTGCCGTGCAAGTGCGGGGGTTACGCGTGAGCAGGAATCCACAACCGTTCTACGGCCTGCCCAGGAGCTCTGCTGACCAAAGACCGCAGGCAGCAGCGTTCTCTTTTCATTCGATGGTGTTCCCTTACTAGCTGGGCTCGCCAGTACACTGACTGGACTACGAGCGGCCACAGTGCTCCGTGGCCGTCGGATTTGCTCGCCCTGAGCAGGGCTGCGCACAAAAGGGTGTCCAGGTCGGATGGGTGCCCGAGTTTTTGATATTGTTGACTGCCTGTGGGAAGCACCCAAGAGATCCCAGGATCCCCCAGGAAGTCTCCAGGAGACTCCCAAGAGGCTCCCAACCGGGCTCCGAGAGCTTTCCAAAGAGACTTCAATCTACGTCTATGAGGCTTCTGGCACACAACCCAGCCATATTCCCGTGATCGATCTTAGACCGCCGTCAAGGCGGCTGCAGAGGGCTACGACTCGCCCCCAAGTCAGTTTCGAAGAGTCTCCAACGGCCTGGGGGGATTTGTGTATGTGTGCCCTGGCCACTGGAAATTGACGGACCCAGTAGCGACTTCGGGCTTGTGGTAAGGGTGATTTGGGTAGTGGGTAAACATCGCGCCGTCTGCTTCTCTTTGATTTCTCCTCTGGAGGGCCAGTTTCGGGCCCTCGGGGCCGTCAGGGATCGATCCTGTTTGCAAGGCCAGCCAGAGTGGACCCCAGTTAATCCTGGAGTCCGATTTTACGACACCTGGTGCGTCAAGCCTGAAGGGTATGTACGCCCATGCTGGGTCCAGGATGGTGCTGGCCAGGATCGGTGTATGCGAAAGCATATGTACTCCCTTCCCCAGGCGGTGCTTGTACCATGGGCTCTTAAAGGACTCGTTCCCAAAGCACACGCTTCTAGCTTGTGTCCCTCAGGGACTGGATGGGTTTGGCGGAGTTTTGCCCAGTGCCCAGTTGGTGGCCGTGGTGCCCGCGGTGGTCTCGTGGGCGCCTTGTGTGCGCGTCGTGCACTGGGCGGTTGTGCCCATGTTTCGCCTCACGCTCGCCCGTGGCCTCCCATGGCCGCTCGTGGGTGCCTCGTGGGCGCCTCGTGCGCTGGGCGCCGCACAGCTTGCACAAGACATATTGTACCGGAAAACCGCGTGCCCAGGATAATAATGTATACCCCCCTTACAACTGTAGAGCTGATTATCTCCGGCCAGAACTTTTTGGTCGGCGGTGGTGGGCGGCCAGGCTGAACTTTAGGACTCCTGGGGCCAAGTTCTCGTTTGCCAGTCTCCACATCTCCACCACGGGTATCGTTGTACAACAGGTTTCGTGCTCCTCCCACCCCTCCAGGGAGGCCCCGCCAGAACCAGCAGAGTATCGTGATATGGGAAATTCAGATGGCATAGTTTGACACGTCACCTTTGGAGCAACATCACCTCATCTTCATCCTCTTGCCCCTCCCCCTCCTCTTCAGTTATCGGCGGCGAGCGAGGGGGGGAAGTGAGAAGGAGAAGGCCTTCTCAGAAGGTTCGGAAGCCCCCCCGTCTTCTGAAACGTTTTCCAAGCCTTCCCTGAAGACAGACAATACTTCTCAGAAGGGGCAAGGGCTTCTGAGAAGCCCCGCCGTCTTCTGAGAAGGCATTCTCCTTCTCATTTCCCCCCTTGCTCGCCGCCAAAGTTGGTACGTTGTGCCTTCTATGCTGAGACTTGCTAGGCAAGTCTTCATTATCCCCCTTCCGATACCACGAAGATGATTGTCTCTGGGGTGTTCTTATAAGGGGTAATCGGTTAGCCTGCACCACCTTGCACCACATAGCCTTTGCCACAGCCTTCACTACGCATCTTACACTTCAAAGCGTGTACCACATCGCTCACACCACACGTACTACACCAAAGCGCTTGCGCCGCATAGTTTGCGCCACATAGCTTACACAACGTAGCTTGCACCACATGTAATGCACCGCGTAGGTAGCAAACATCTGTTGTATCAGATGGCTTGCATTCCATAGCTTGCATCACATGTCTTGCACCGCATAGGTTTCACCACATAGCTTTCACCACCCTGATCCCGCCATATAGCTTGCACCACATAGCTTGCACCACACATCTTACGCACCCACAGTGCAATAACTTGCTGTTTGAGGTCAACGCTGGTATTCATGTCCGTAAGGAATTGGGTTCGATGGGGTTCCGCCTGGTGCCCGGTTGGTGGCCGCCCGTGGGCGCCATACGACGTGGGAGGTATTTTTTTCGATGGGGGAATCACTGCATACGCATCAGCGACTGCTCCGAGGGTCCGCGGACATTTTTCTTGGGCCAATTCTGGACCCCCTCCCCCCTCCCTGGCGCGCTACGCTCGCCAGGGGCGGCGCCGCAGGCGCCGCCCGGAGGGTCCTTCGCCGATCCCGAGGTCTGCTCGGACCTCCGAGAGTCTGCGCTCGCGCCGTGTCCTGCCCCCCCGAGTCTCGGCGGTGACCCAGACGGACCCCGCGCAGCGCACCGCGGCCATGGCCACGGCCATGGCCCTCTGCGTGGCCTGGTACGGCCATGCCCTCAGATCCTACGTTGCTAGGGTGCCGTCGGACCTCCAGGGGCCTCTCGGCGCCTCGACTGGAGCCTCTTCGAAAGTGTGGCCGCAGGGCTCCCCAGGCGAAGTGCGGGGGGCGTTTTCGGACCCCGGGACTGGCTACAACGGGTCGCGTCGGGTACATGTTTTTTTTGGTTCTCTTCGGGGGTAGTGTGACTTTTGCGGGGCACAGGGGACCCACAGGAAGCGTTGCCTGGTGCCATGCCTGGTGTCGTGCCATTCTTGGTGCCGTGCCGTGGACTGCTGCGTGCCGTGCCGAGTGCCGTAATGATTACCGCTCGCGTCCGTGGCAGGGTTCCAAGCAACGGCGGCCTGAGTAGCCCAGTCAGGCTCAGCGCATCCTGTAGGGTGCTTGGCCGCACGCGAATAGCACGCCACCCTACAGTGCAGTCGGGATTGCTGCGTCCTGGAGGGCGCTCAGTGTCGCGCTAGCCGGGGCGGGAGAGGTACGAGGCGGCGGGCCATTTTCGTGGCCCGCGACACCTCGACTCCTCCCAGGGCGTACCGGGGATCCCCAGGCCGCGAGACGCGGCCAAGGGGAGGTGCTTGGGGGGCGTCCGAGGTTGAACCGATCGGTCCCGAGGCGCCCCCCCCCTGGTTGCGAGACTTGGTCAAAGGGAGGTGCCTGGGGAGCATCAGAGGCTGAAGCCATGGTGTCCCGAGGCGCCGAGGCTCCCCCCCCCTCGGCCGCGAGACGCGGTCAAGGAGGGGTGCCCAGGAGGCGTCCGAGGATGAAGCCGTGGTGTCTCCAGGCGCCCTCGCCAGCGGCGAGACGCGGTCCAGGGTGGATGCCCAGGGAGCGTCCAAGGTTGAAGCCGTGGTGTTCCGAGGCGCCCCCCTGGCCGCTAGACGCGGTCAAGGGGGGGCCCAGAGGGCGCTCAAGGTTGAAGCCGCCGTGGTGTCCCGAGGCGCCCCCTCTCAGCCGCGAGACGCAGGGGCGCTCAAGGTTTACGCCGTGGTGTTCTGAAGCGCCCCAGCGGCCGTGAGACGCGGTCAAGTGGAGGTGCCCCGGGGGGGCGCCGCTCAAGGTTGAAGCCCTAGTGTTCTGGACGCTCCCGCTGCCAGGACACGCGGTCAAAGGGGGAACGTCTGTGGAGCTGTGTCCTAGGGCTCCTCGCCTGAAAAAAAAGCCTCAAGAGGATTCCCAGCTGACCAGGTTCTGTGAGGCACTCGCGGATTTGTTGGTGGCATCTCTGAGATTCGCAATTTATTGGCCGACGATTATTCTTCAGGGATTTCGGACAGCCTGCGACCGTTTCAAGAGGCCCTCCGAGGGTCCTCAGCTTGGCCTCGAATGCTCCCCAGGGCCCCATAGATTGTCCAGCGGATCCAGCCCTTCCCCAGTAGGCCTTCGGATGGCCCAGAACTGTTCCGAGGTGT